AACAAAATTGTGCAGAATCTTTCATGCCATGGGGGCGACGAGCACACTGTCGAAAATCTGACAACATGATGGCCACGCATTAAAAGGTACAACCAATCCACCAGTTCACTACATTACTCACATCCGAGTCAGGAAATACCCAGTGATGTATTCGGATCATGTCCCTTCTCGCATACGGAGCAAAGATTAAGGTAGTATATTGTCCTCGACATCATTCAGTAATCGTCCAACGCCTTAGTGAAGGCGCCATTGCTGTAGGAAACAAGGGGTGGGGAAGTTTGATCAAGAAGGTGACCTTAGACTCTGGAAAGAGGCCAGAATTCCAGTGCTCTCCGCTTACGACATACGTCCTCACCGAACTACGTTAGTGGGCGGTATAGAGGAGCAGCACAACGGCTACAACCATTGAGTCGGGTGTGATCTACTGGTGATACTGCATCACGAACTTCAGATGATGTGCTAGCAAACACATGTCTCAAAGGTACCGGTGATCGGAAGGAGGGGCGGGAGGGGGAGGGAAATAGTGCCAACTTCATATATTCTGAGCAAGTGTGCCATCCACCACACGGTTGGATGCCATATGCCCAACAGAGGCGGGTCTGGCGAGACTTGTCTTGACTAATATAGAAATAAAATAGCCGCCAATCTATGAATGCTCCACGTCCTCAACTTCCGTTTGAAAATCAGCCGCATATGAAACAGATTGCCCAAAGCCACGAGTCAGGTTAGACACCAAGAAGTAGCCCAACATCGAGTGAGAAAGAAGTTTTTCGAGCGCTGGAAGCGCGTCGCGACTCAAAAGTGCGAGGCAACGGCGCTAAGGTCTTGTCGTGTATCTGTCGTGCGCCATCTCGCGTACAAAGGCTCATTGGTGCTATCCTTCGCCAGCAACCCTGGTACCTATAGTTTCCCCTAGGGGATAGTTTGATCCGGTGAGTGCGAATATGGCAACTATTTGGCACAAGAAGCCCGACCCGTGCGCCGTTGATACAGTACTGACAGCCATAAGCAAATGGCGTCCAGATTTACAGGGTGGCTACTAAATATTGGCGCATGGTTTATTGACCATATTTTAAAAAGAGAAGCTATTACATCTTCAGAAGTTTATTTTATATACAATAAAACATAACATACATTACTAAAGTGCTCGAAATGGCCTCCTTCGGCAGCGATACAGGCTTCAAGTCTCTTCTCAACTGACATCACCGTGGGCCGCAAGTAACTGACGTCGACTTCCTCCCAGAAGCTTTTCACGCATGAAGTGGTACACAATTCTCAAAACGACAAGCATCCGGCTAGCAGACATTCTGCTCGACGTCGTGTGCACACAAGGAAGGCGATTTCCAAAATCATTCATGATTTCAGGCAGAATTACTTCCGACACCGAGACACCGCTTGTCTTTGTGGACAAATCCGTCAAAATTAACGCCCAGATCTACCAGGAAACAATTTTACGTGATGTGCTCCTTCCATGGACTGTTTCGACCTCCAGCAAATGTCAGTGCATTCTTCAGCAAGACTAGGCGCCTCCACATGCCGCAAAATCTACGCTGGAGTTCTGTGACCGTCATTTTCCAGGTTACTGGTCACACCAAGATGTTTGGCCATCTAACTCGCCCGATTTGAACCCAATGATTTTGCGGTGTGGGGCTTCTTGCGGCAGAAGGTGTCTTCCAAGCAGAAGTTTGGACTCCATGAAGGGGCGTAAGAGGAACTCGACGTCTGCTCTTTGCGGCCCACGGTGATGTCAGTTGAGAAGAGACTTGAAGCCTGTATCGCTGCCGAAGGCCATTTCGAGCACCTTTCAGTGATTATTGTATGTTCTACTGTATATAAAAATAAACTTCTGAAGACTTAATAGCTTTCCTTTGTAAAATATAGTCAATAAACCATGCGCCAAGATTGAGTACCACTCTGCATTCAGCCAAGACGACTCTTTACATTGGGAGGAGTTGATGACTTAACCATGTTTCCACCAAAAAAATGCATAAGAGCAATTTCAGAAGGGCTCTTGTCTGTGAGCCCGACAACCACCCCTGCATCTTATATCTACGTTCAGAAACTCGTTTGGCAGATTTGAAAGGCATACTCGAGATCAGCGTTCAAAAACACATTTCATGTATATCTTTCAATGTATGTGATCACTTGGACCTGGACCCCTTCCCTTGGGAGTCCCTACACCGTTCCACTGCTTATGTGGAACAATAAAAACACGAAATTTTCCTAGGGACTGAAAACATAACCAAAATCGATTGCAACTAGCTAGGAAAGATGAGGCGTCACTTGATAACTGAGTGAATTTTTTACGAACTACCTAATAGAAGTAGGAGAAAAGGCAAGTGAATGAGAGAATAGACGTGTATCACAGAGCAACTAAATGTCACAACGGCAGCCTGACCAAAACATTAAAGTACATGTTTTTTCTTTCAAGTGAATTCACAGCTTTCAATGGATATAAGAATAATAATAGAATTGACGTTTTTATCCAAACAAGAAAACATATTTCCAATGAATACCAGATCAAGCTGTTTCTTCTTCAGCCGTACTCTTTTTACTAAGGGCAGTTTTGAATAAAAGGTAGGTAGCGCGCGCAATCTAGGTTGTTTTTTCTGCAATCGTTGCAATCGTTTCTTTCAGAAAGTTCAGCGCATTATGAAAGCATCTCAGAACCTTCCTTGTATTCCCAACTCCTAACTTTCAAACGGTATAAACAAACAACGCTCATAAATGAATGGGTTCGGACATCGAACGAAATATAATAGTTTAAAAAAATCACACCTTTACAACGTAAAACCAAAACAGCAACCTCACAATACATGAAGAGGAACAAAAAATACGAAAACAAAGAGTATCTAATGCTACACGTTGACGACTTCGCTTCAACTTACATGATCAAGCGATCATTTCCTTTCTTTATCTGCCCATATTTTACCATATCCACCTCTATCCGGATCAAATTGTTCGCGATACTCATCTCGTACCTACAAATCCAGAAAATAACACACAATTTAGTTACATTATGAGCCTTTAAAGGAATGCTACTTACCTGCCCACCATGCTTTCCTCGCCCATACTGTCGTCCTTCAACGAAACCTGCATCATAATCAACTCGAATTAGCCTGCCATCCAAGCATCGTGCGATTCAGGCATCTCACTGCATTTTCCGTGTCAGCTCGGGTATAGTAGCTGAAAAGAAGAAAGCACTCGTTGTTCCCAAATCACCGCAGCGACCCTGGTGAGCGGCATCAACTACGAGCTACACGACTTACATCACAAAACAAAAACCGCATGGAGATTTTTTGAACCGATCGAGACCAACTATTACCCGTTTTACTTCTCCAGCACGACCGAACAACTCGTATAGCTGAAACAAACGATACTAATTGAGCAAGAATACTGAAGAAAATTGAATGCAATAACGAGAACCTGGTCTTCACTTGTATAGAATGATAAGTTCCCTATATAGAGCGTCGTCGATGTTCGCAGAGCAAGGTCTTGTTCTTTGAGCGTACCCTGGAAGGAAGTGATATTACATAGGAGCGCAGAGCAAAAGGATACTTCTAGATATAGCGCACAATACAACTTATCGAAACATGAAAAGCTCTCTACTGTCACCGGCGCTTTTGGTTAGCTAGTGGATAATCAGCCAATCATAGACACCCATTGCTCACTTGGGCGCTATGGCAAGACACGAGGAATTCGTTGTTAACAAAAGAAAGCAGGTTGATGTGTCTGTCAGAAATTTCAAAATACTAACAGAGCAAAACATGTCAAAAACTGTAATCTACCAAATCTTCCAGAACAACAAGATTCAACAAGACCAGCCATGCAAATAAATACAGATCAGCTTCTATGTGATATCAAGAACTTTATCTCTACCTTCTTCTTCCATTTTTGTAAACTCATATTGCCTGGTTTTGACTCATACGCTTCGTCTAGGGAAGAGAAGTCAGTTAACCCATCCGGCAGCTGCCTACACCCTTAAAATCCCACCTTCTTAGCTCATTGTTAGTTCTTGCGCAATCAGAAATTCTCTTAGCGTACAGATAACTCAACGGCATAGAAATAAAGCCACATTCACCATCAAAGCGCTTTTC